TGAATTGACTGCAGTGTAGGATACGGACAAAATACTCACTGAAAATCTAACTATGTTCTTATTTTGACTCATCACCTGTATCTTCTCGTCCCTTTAAGCGTCGAGTGACTCGAGCGGAAACCAGCAATGCTTCCATCTTTCCCTGTCACGTGCAAGAGTAGCGTAGTGGGTCCTCGTCGCTCCAAAGATTCGTTGAGCATCGTAATTACTTCTAGCGTTTTTGTGAAAGAATCTGGCAATCGGATCTTTGATTCACCTATAGAGCGCTTGATATCCCGAGGAACTCAGTCGGTAACGGCTGTCGTCCATCGGTTGTCTTTGGAGCGCATCGTGTATCTGGCCCACCTTATTTTCGGTATCCTTCCGTTTAGAACGGCGTCTTTAATCTTCGACCGTTGACGTAGATCAGGGCTTCGCTCCCTCATTTACTAGATACGGAATACTACCAGCCTTGACCTTTAGACTGCGCGTCCAATAACGCCAAGTGATCTCTCATCCTGTTTACGTATTCTGATCTGTGTAATTTATGAATGAATCAGTGAACGCGGTATTTCATTTTGGTTAATCTAATATGTGACACAGAGACCGCAGGCAGAAGTATATGATGGTGGTGAATTCGCTCCAGGATCGAATCCACTAAATGAGGTATGACGATATCTCAGCGTCGATTGCGAACAGTTGGTTTCTGTTAATTTTAAGTTGTCAGGACACAGTTTCTATCTTTTCAGAATTTCTATACTTTCGATGAGGAGCTCTTCTGCTTGTATTGTTATGAGGTGTACTGCGAGATGTGTCAGTACCTAGGCAGAAATCCGCCAAATATCCTCGCTTACGGCATTTGGCGTACACATTCTATGAAAGACAGAAACGGCGACACGACGTATGTAACTTGTCGAAAATTTTATGAATTACATAGCAAATGATAAAGAACGAAATGTGGCTTCTTTGAAGACGTACCAAACATCGAACTTTATTAGGTATTGTGGAAGTGGTTCAACTGAACTTCCATCCAGACTTTTGATTAGCGTATATCTCTAAAAGTCAATGCTTTACCTTCTTAATGCAGTCCGGTACCAATTAGCTCCAGGTAAAAGAGCGGCCTCTAAGTCTGGCCATATCATCAGAGTGAACCGACAGCCACGACTGAGTTGTTGGGCACTTCCAATCATTCTATAGCTGCACTATAAAGTATTTGCCAACTAGTATTCCTATTGATAAAACTGCTAATTCTCATTGCTTATACCATAGTTAGTACTTTCTCAGTGCTTGTTGGTATTTTGTAACACTCCTACATGACCTTAAGAGACGTGTAGCGTTGTGATTAAAAGTCTTACAATACACGCGTGGTCCTTTGTTCAATCCTTCATCGTAAGCTGTCCAAAGTACTGACATTACACACTGTACAGTAAATAGTGCATAAACCAAATATGCATTCATTTAGCTCAGATGGTGACTACTGATGTGGCTTTTATGCTTGCATCGGACAGTGAGGGGCTGGTCAACGCTCAATACTTAAGCATTGTCCTTAACTATCGCGGGTATTCTTTATCTAGCGTGGGAGATTGGTTGCTAAATGGAATGACTTTTATTCCGGGGTACTGTATTTTTCTAAGATATTTCTGATACTGCATGATTTTCTCTGTATGTTCATATGTTTTTCGTGCACAGGCTTAGGTGTTTGGACCAAAGCATATAACAGGGTTTATTTGATAACATAAAATGAGTATAGAAAGTTTCAGACCACAGAAAATATAGTACATCAAACATAGTGCATACTTGTGGACCGATGTATTTCTAATGGCACATAGTGTGAAAAGTTTTATAGCTTCGGTTGTACTGATGTATATGTTTCAGCTGTCCACATTTGTGGTTCGTCAAGTGCGGCCATTGTGGAGCCACTGGTGGCGATGCACACGTTGAAAAGTACTGTCCTGTGTTGCTTCTTCACGATCGTCGCCTTCAGAGGGACTTAATGAAACATTTACACATTTTATGTTGCTCACTTTGCACAATCATGTTGTTTATTCGTCTCTCGCAGATTTAGCCGGTGATGCGATATTGTGTTACATCTCGCTTTCGCGGCTGACGTTGACGTGTCGGTTTATCATATCACTGGTTGGGCTTGTTACTTTGTAATACTCGCGTAGTGTGTTGCCTGTTCAACGTTTACGTCTTGTGAAGTACTTCAAACAAATTTTGATTCCTGCCATGTCCACTGTTCAGTGTTCCAATCATCAAATGCATGTTCTGCTACACGAGACCTAGGAAAATGGTTCTGATTGTTGAGAAGGTTAGGACATTATTGTGGGTATTAATTAATCGTGGCACCATTCAGTCGAAATAGATTGTTTTCAGTGTTTGCAGTGGGATTACGGAGATTTTTGTTTGGTTGCGTAGGTTACATGTCGATGGCGACATGGACGTAAACGTCTGCCTTTGTGCAGTTCATGTACTGAAAACTCATCACAATCATCAAAATCACAGTGGTGGTTAGTATCTCAATTATTCTTCGGATCATTTCTTACTCTAAGATGTATTGCTCGGTGAGGAACCAATTATATCGTTGGACAATCATTTTCATACACAGCCTTGCTATACAAAGGAGAGTACATTTCTCTTTTGCGCGCAAATTTTCAACTTCTTGGAAAAAAGACGTGATCTGTCTGGACTCAGAGTTATAGTGTTCGTTCGATTATATAGGTCTAAAGATTTTCAACGGTTCCATTTCTGAGATGGTCCTTATGATGCGCTATAATAGTAGAAATAAATTTAGCCACATCAAGCAAGTTTTGTTGGATAAGCTTTTTTCTGGACCTTCAGTAGGCATTCGAAAACTGTAATTTCGGCAGCTTCAATGGTGTGCCTGGTTTTTGAGGAGTATTTCTTGTTGCGCTATAGCGGCCCGAAAAAAAATTAGGTTTTGCATTCGGCGTGTATTCTTTTCTCCGATGTGTGGATGGAATTTGACAGCATTGGCATCATGGTACCACGCTTTTGCAGCCTCGCAATTGTGTGATAGCTTTAGCTTAGAATATTTTGAAACTGAATATGCAGAAACACTGTTCAGATTTGTATGGGCTAGAATTTTTCTTTTTCACCTTACAACGTGAAATAAATCCGCGACTAAGCCACGTCTAAGCAGCCTGAGTTTATGCATGAAAAATCTATGAATGTGTAGAAAAAAGATCTTGTAACAGACGCATATGTGTTATCTCGAGCTCTTCAAAAGCGGAAAAACCCCTATATTTGATTCAAAAAGATCGCATGGCACATGGATCGCTCAGTGAGATCATTCAACCGTGCGATCGCCATGGCAGCCATACCAGAGTAAGGAATGCGCGCCGAGTGTTAAATCCAATTTTCTTCTGGCTGCCACAGCGCGTCAAGAAGCTCTTTTGAAAATTCATGCATGCCACTGATGTTTTGAGATTTTGGATCAATACTAAATTCTACGGAAAAAGCTTTTTCAGCGAAAAATATTTAATTGTGAAGCGTGATTCAATTTTATTGGGCACCGTGGAAGAGTGGGATGCTCGTCACGACGCTCGTGAAGCCGAGCTCCATCCCGTCCTCTACCCTCCACCTCCCTCCACCACCTCTGTGCAGCAGTGAACAATAACGCCATATGGAACGCCACAGTAGGGCTTCTTCAAGACTACATGGAGACTCGCTCAACAAACATTCTGTGCCTTTCAAGAAGAAGACGAAAAACGAATTGAATGCTAAAAGTACTGGAGTCCGCACTGTAAAAAAAGACACTGTGATGAGTGATCAAACAAGGTGCCAAAAATTTATTCCAACAGTTACTGCGCATTGAGTCATTTTCAAGAACTGAGGACAAAATAAATTCTCGAAACCGCAGACTACTGCATGGACTAGAAAGTAATCAATCACATCTAATCCCACAGATTCATATTATCGCTTTCTTCTCGCCATAAATGGTTCAACAAAGTGAATGCACCCTCCAGATATCACCTATAACAAAAATGATAACGGATGGATTAGTTTTTTTCTTGAAGAATTAGAAGCTGTGACAGTTTGTGAATCAGAGGAACCATCACAGCATATCATATGTCACCCCTTCAGTGACCAGTGCTTTTTACGGGCATCAATGGAACTTCCATTATCATTGTCACATTTCTGATATAATTGAATTGGTTCTTGTAAATACCGGTTACGATAACCGATTTAGCCATTCTTTTCTGGCTCTAGGAAGTCTCAAAGTAAATTTTTCCCTCTCATTCCATTGACATTACTCTCTGCGGTTTCTATGGGAATTGATAATCTTCATCCATAACGTTTCCAGTATCTTGCGCGCTAAGGCCTTATGCTCCTATGCGAGGATGGTGACTCTACTTCATAATCCTCATCATGTGTCTGTACTCTATACGAGCTTTGTGGGATAATAAGGAATGATATATAATTGAGAGTTATACATAACCGGTTTTTCTGTGTATTCACAAGAGAACGGCACTATTTCGGGAAGCAACCTCGCTGAACAAACACTATTTCGGCTGCTATTTTCTCCACTCCTCATTATCATGTCTTTGTTCAAGCATTTATTCCTTCCAGAGTGGTATTCCTTCCTGAGACATAACACATAACGCGTAGGAGCGCAGGTAGCGCGGAGATCAGAGGTGCTCGGCGTCGTACACAAGGTGGATGGTTCGATCTCGCACCCATGACTCACCAAGCAATCTACCATTTGGTGTCGGTGAATTGGTACCAGGCTGGGTTCAGACTTGTTTGAAAGGATAGCGGCATTAACTCGATGCAGCGAGAGGCCACCGCGAGTCATTGTAAAGGCCAAATATTGCATTTAGTCACCTCAAATGAATATTAGAAAGTGAAGACGAATGCATGGCGCATCCCTCAGAGATTGTACTACTCCAAAATGTGACTTGTGATAAAGCGAAATCGTATACTCGACCAAACCTGATAAGGGTTGGTGGCTGATAGCTAACATAGAGATGTTGAAGAATGAGTGCTTCCGCAAATGTGCCTCGGTGGTGTAGTTTTAGTAACATGCGTCCCCAATACGTATGGAACGCGGGTTCGATTCCCGCCCGAGGCCATGTTTTTGCCCACCACCCAATTCCCTCAGAGATTAGTCAGCGCTCAATTCCCTATTCCTCTATTCAGACACAAATTCTTCGCATTTTTTTAGGCACTTTTAGCCCAGGGAGCTTTTCTCAAATAAATCTAGATGTCGAATGTGAAGGGTGGGAGAAAAGGTTTCGTTAGCGATTTATTGCACTACGATACTTCGTCTCTTACTGATCGGCAGCTCTAACCACTGCGCTTTCTGCGTTCCTATATTGAAATTGTCGATGATAAGAGCTAGTTATTATATAATTAATACTGGAAAAGGAAGAATAGAATACGCATGTGATGCATTTCATTTGTACAACTTTACCACAGAGTTTAGGTGTCCAGTCTGACAAAGAGACAAATGAAACGAAGGTGAAGCGGTGGTGTAAAGTTTTCAGAAATGATGATCATTTCCATGACAAAATTCCGACTGCCTCATTAATTTTCGTGTTACTGGAAGATTTTGATTTACCGTAATCTTGCGCATTCCTCCACCGATTACTCAAACGAAAACGCACCATCCAAGATGGAGAGTCCAGACCGTAAGCGCGTTTTCCCACGTTCAAGCTTGGGAAAAGTAGGCGGATCAGTACCCGAAGTGCTATAAACCTCCGGTGAATTTGAAATCAACAAAACGGTCACACATTCATTCTTCAAGTTTGTCTGTATTCCAATCGCTCGCTTCTCGTCACTCAAGGATGTCTGGGAAGATCCTTCTAGAACTTAAGCCGGAACGTCTAAGAAAAAGTGTGGGGACAAACGGCAGTGAGGTGGGCGGCCTATTTCGGTTAAAAACTCTTTTAGTAAAAGTTGACTATTTCTTACGTGCGCCACTTTACAAAAAAAATCATGCATTTTCTGTCTACGGTTGGTGCATGGCATTTAATGCACTGAATGAATGGCTTGAGATGTATGTGCCCGAGATTTCCAACGCTCGCTGATGACGTATACAATCAGCACGATGCATAGATCCGTTTTCTACAAGATGATTATATTTGGTCTGTCACAGAACATGATATACAGATAGCCTGCTGATAGAGCGATCCAACTGCTTTCAAGATTTTGCTTTGATCTTGCTTCACTGCTAAGATAACAACGACCGTACCACTATCGTCCTATGATAGCTCTTCATTTACAATACAAAAATAGACTCTAACAGAAAAATCACAGGTGATGAGGGCGTAAATTAAGGATTCCCATCTTGTTTTCGATAATCATTGGGATACGAACTGCCTAAATTGTTCACCATCTCTCTAGTTTAATCATATCTATAGAGAACCAAGTGTGAATTTGTATCATCGTTTAGAAACGCTTGAGGAATAATTTTCGCGAGTTCTTAGTTCTTCATTTTGTAAGCCTTGCGATTATAGTGGTAATGCGTGTGTTCATGTCCGAACGCTTGGATGGCTTGCCATCACAGGTAGTAAAAAACGCAGGAACCACATCACCATTAGTACTCGAATTTATTAAACGGGAAACATTACTTCTCCTGGACCACCGTCGTGAAGCTTTGTTGTGCTACATTAGCTTTTGAACCAACGACCACTCGGATCCAGTATCGCAGTAAATCCTTACACTTCCTGTAATACCACTGTTGCATTTCTACGTGAGCTAGTGTGAAAATGGTTACATATTTCCAGCGAAAATATTTGAACGGCAACTTGAACGCAGATGGACGTCCACGTCAAAATAAAAAACAGTTGCTACAGTACCGCGGAAAGCGTCCAGACGGTACATGGTGCAGCGATGAGTTGAACAACAGCTCTTCGCATCCTGGAGAGAATGAGGTCGCTTTTGAGTTTTGAGGCTGATTACTGTGGCCATATTTTGTTAGCTTTTTACCACTGTATTGTCATTCTAGCTCTCCGACTGGACGACAAAGCACTTCCCCTCTGATTTCGAGCACGTCGTGTTCGAGAAGGATCGCAGCATTGATATGAAAGTGAGTGGACCTCATTTAGTTCAAAAGACGTCAGTTTATAGTTAAGCTTATTTGAGTTTATATATATATATATATATATATATATATATATATATATATAGTTTGTAATCTTCCATAATCTTGCGCATCTCTCTATCGTTTACTCAAAACGAAAGTGCGACACCTAAGATGGAGAGTCTAAACGGTAAGCGCGTTTTCCCACGCTCAAGCTTGGGAAAAGTGGGCGGATCAGTACACTAGGTGTTAGCAGCCACAGATGAATTTGATATCAAAAAAGCGGTTACACATTCACTCTTCAAGTTTGCTTGTATTCAACCGCTCGCTTCTCGTCACTCAAGGATGTCTGGGATGACACTTTTGAAGCTGAACCCGGAACGTCTAGAGCGAAATGTGGGGACAAGCGGCGATAAGGTAGGTGGTATTTGGTCCAGAACACTTCTTGTAAAAGTTGACTATCTCTTACGTGTCACACTTTGCCGGAGAGTTCCTGTGATTGGCTGGTGCATGGCATTGAATGCACTGAGTAGCCTGGTTTGATATGTATGTAGACGAAATTTCCAATGTTCGCTGATGACGTATGCACTTAGCACCATGCACAGGCCCATGTTCTACAAGATGTATATTTGTTCTGTCGTAGAACATCCATCACATCCAGACAACCTGAATTTAGGTAGATTCAAGTGCTCTCAAGAATTCGCTTTGATCTTGTTTGATGCTCTGTTTGACCGCTAAGATAAAATGGTCGTACTTCCAACGTCTTGTGACAGATCTTCATTTACAATACAAAAGTACAACTCTAACAGAAAAATCACAGGTGATGAGGACGTAAATAACAGGAATCCAGTTTTGCTTCCGAGAATTGTTGGATGGGATATGCCTCAGTTGTTCATCATCTCTCTTGTTTGGCCATCCGTGTAAAGGGCCATGCGTGATTTTATACCAATGTTTTGAAACACTTGAGGAAGAGAAAAGAACGAGTGCCTCATAGAAGGTGTGACTATAGTGATAATGCGTGCGTTTATGTTGAGTGCTTGGATGACTTGCCATCACAGATAGAGAAAAATCGTAGGAACTGCTTCACTATTTCTACTTGAGTGTAATGAACGGGTAGTATTCCTTTTCCTGGGAAACCGTTGCAATGAATCAATGTGTCCAATCCCTTGGCAACCAACGACCATATTGCCGCCAGTAGCGCGGTAACTTGTTGCACTTCCTGGGATATTTTTATTGCATTTAAACGTGTGCTTCCGTGGAAATGGTTACATATTTCCAGCAAAAATATTCGGACGGCATTTCGAGCGCGGATGCACATATACGTCAAAATAAAAAAGAGTTGCTACAGTATCGTGGAAAGCGTCCGGACGGTACACCGTGCACCGATGAGTCGAACATCAGCTCTGCGCATCCTGAAGCGAATGAGGTCGTTTATGAGTTTCTGTAGTTGGTTACTGTAGCCACGTTTCGTAAGTTTTTCCTTGCTGCATTTTCATTTTAGCTCTCCGATTGGACAACATCGCCCTTCCACTCTGATTGGGAGCACGTCATGTTCGACATAAATCGCAGCGTTGATCTGAAAGTAAGTGCACCTCACTGAGTTCAAAAGACTTCAGTTTATGTACATACATATGTGAGATTATGGACTTACGAATGCACTTGTACGTAAGAGAGCTGCATTTGGTTGTTGAGGTTTCCAGCCTATAGTTGTTACTTTAAGCTTAAAATTTTTCGTAATCTTCGTCAAATTCAGAGGTTGTTTGCAACTTTATTAAAATTAGGTGCTCAATAGTGCATACCAACTTGTGCTTCTCTACAGAACTTGTGTTGAGAAGCATGGCACTTCTTGCTAAAAAGAGCTCATTGGTTACAAAAATAGCTTAATTTTTCTGTTCGCATGATTGGATGTATCGTCTGCTTAATTGTCGGCATCTGATGCACCTTTTCTTTCCTTCATTGTAGGTGACTGCCACTATTTCTTCATAGTTAAGTCACTTAGACGATTTTTGAGGGCGAATTTGGGGGAAATTTGCCTTCCATTGTCTGTGCTTGATCGCGGGGTTTTACTACTTCTACAAACTTCTAATGAAATTTGAATTGCTTCTGTGGGAATTGTTATACATTTCAGCAAAAATGTTCAAACGACAACTCGAACGCTGATGGACGTCCACGTCAAAATAAAAAAGAGTGGCTACAGTATCGTGGAAAGCGTTCGAACGGTACCTGGTGCACCGATGGTTCGAACAACAGCTCTTCGCACCCTGGGGAGAATGAGGTCGTTTCTGAGTTTTCAAACTTGATTGCTGTGATTACTGTGCCACATTTTGTCAGCTTTTTGTTAATGGATTTTCGATCTAGCTCTCCGATTGGACAACATCGCACTTTCACTCTGATTCCGAGCACGTCATGTTCGAGATGGATTGTAGCGTTGATATGGAAGTGAGTAGACCTCATTTAGCTCAAAACTTCAGTTTATGTACATATATATTTGAAAGGATGAACTGAGGAGTACACTTGTACTCAAAAGGGATCTATTTGGTTATTGACGTCACTAGCTTGCAGCCATAATTTTACGCTGAAAAATTTTTCGCATTCTTCGTTGATTCTACGATTTGTGTGCAATTTTAAGGACACTGAGTGCCCAAAAGTCTATCAACTTGTGGTGCGCTAGAAAACTTGTGTCAGTTGCATAGCACTTCTTTCTAAAAGGAGCTCGTAGGTCCAAAACAGCTTATTCTTCACGTTTGTATAATTGGTCGTATGGTATGCTTGATAGTCGGAATCTGATGTATCTTTTCTTTCCTTTTAAGTAGCCGTCACCGTTGAATCCTAAGAGTTGAGTCACTTAACAATTTTTGAGGACGGATTTTTTCTACCCTTTTTTTGAGCTTGATCGGGGTAACATTTAGAAACGAAACACGGAGACAGTACGTCGGGAAAATTATTTTGCCAAACTGATCACTTTGACTCACGTTATTTCAGCAAACTATAGCATCACAACGAAATTAATATTGACTTAGTAGTCAGTACTGAGGAAAGACTCTGCA